AATGGAAATACAGGACTGGTTGGAGAAGTCAAGCCCAGTATGCTTTGCTTTGGAATTCCTCTGACCGTTGTTTCCTTTAAGGGATGCATAGGGCCTACTTCACTTTTGGAAGTAGAATTAACATCTACAGAGTAAATTTTATCTGGTTATTTTAGGAAGCTGATGGGAAGAATCCGTTTTCTCAGACATGGAGAGAAATGTGTTGTTTGCTACATTTTGACTTTATTTTCTTTGACACTACAATAAAGATCCAAATTCTGAACTAAAATTAAATGCAGTCAGACAAAATGTGAATTATTGTCTGGAGATGCCAGTTTCTCATTCTGACTGTACATGGAGAATACCATAGTCATGTTTCTTAGAAGTTCAAAGTTAGATCATGGCTTTCAGTTTCCATTTTGCACATCTCCGTCCCTTTGCCCTTGCCAAAAAAATAAAATAAAAAATGGTTGGATTTACTACATCGTAGGAGTTGAGAAACTTGTGGCATTACTGTTTTGAGGAAGTTTAGACAGCACCTTTTCCAGTGCAGTTACAAATAAACATACTGATTTTTATTCTTATGCTGCCAGAAGATAGTAATTTGGTTTCAGAATAATTCACTGATTGTTTTCAGTGCCTAAACCTTTCAAAGCTTGTGTAATTTCTACCTTAAACAGTAAAATAAGAAAATCCCACAGAATCTGAATTCTTTTCCTAAATCCCACTGGCCTAATTTATTTTCACTTATACTCCTAGTTAAAATATTTTAAGAATCTGTTTGTATTCAAACGAAGGCTTGCATTTATCACACCTCATATCATTTAGCCTAAAATGTCATGGCCTGTAGAATGGTGTGTAAAAACCGAGGTTCCCCCACTGCAGTTTTGTGATCCCCAGGATTGCTATAAAATACAGTACCTCATGTTGCTTTCAAAAGAATTTACTAGCATTGTTCTTGTTGCTAAAGAGTTAAAAGTGGCAGAACGTCCAAATGTTTTTTTGTAAACTTCAGCTGATGCTATTTTAAGGATGATACTATCTTACATAAAAAAAAGAAAAAAGAAAAAAGAAAAAAAAAAACACAAGTATTTTAAAGGTTTCTTTGCAAATGCTGAACTTTCATTCCATCTTTCATTAAACGTACGTGGAATACAACTAGAGACTGTTCTATAAACCTTTTTCATTTTATTTGTGTTTGAATGGATCATCAGTTTGTCCATTCATAGAGCAAGAAGAAAGAGGAGTTCAGAAGAATACTGAAAAGAAAACAAGAAGAGGAAAAAAAAGTAGAGATGGAGGCTGAGATATAGGAAATAGGAAATAAAAATAAGGCATTCAAGGGAAACAAATCTTATCTGTGTTTGCTGAATATTTCTTTAACAAATGTTAGGTTAAAATGAGTGGCATGTAAAAAGGTTGCAGTATTAATTGGGGAAAAATCTACATGTTGTCAGAGTGCATAGCAAACCAATTACTGATAAGAAACATGATATTCCCTTGTTCAGCTGGCGAATTATCTACTGAAAGATCCTGTACTGTTTAGGTTCGTTTCCTTCTGAAGTCATAGAGCCTGGTAATAACTCCACTTAAGCATGTGGTGGTTCCATTTCTAACTTTTTTTGATTGAAAACTGGGCAGTATGAGGAATTTAGTTTATTCGGGTTAAAAATAATTTTGTGTACAGTCGTCTATGAATCTGCAAATTATGATACACTGCTTTGCTTGTTTATTTTTAGTCGCCCTTTTAATCTTTTCTACCATCATAAGCATATTTGGATACGTAATCAGAATCCCACAAACTGCTTATATTTCATGTTTTTAAAAATGTGGCTTACAACATAGTACATTATACTTTTTGGATCTCGTGTAATCCATGAAATTGCATGTTGCATGACAGTAGAAAAGCTGCAGAATTCATTCTACCTGACTGTAATGCTTTCCACCCATTAATTTACCGTCTTTATTCAAATCCTAGAATAGGCAGTTAAAATTTCAAAATGATATTTCATTGACCCATTTCAACAGCCCCTAAAACGTATTGGTAAACTCAGATGGCCTGTGGGCTTAGTTAAAGAAAACAGTATTTTTTATACTGTTCTATTTATCTTTCAGCTAAAAGATTTCATCCGTATAATGATTGTTAAGCCCAAGACTTGATTTTCACATATGTCTAAACTATTTGGTTGTATAAACTAGTTGCTACAGAACCAGTTTCCTTTTAAGGATGCATATTGTGCAATATGATTGCGGTACTGAAACTGAATTTTCTGAGCACTGGAACAATAACGTGCAGAAAATGCTTTAGTGGCTAAAAATACTATTTCAGTCTTCACCGAAGAGAGAGAATTTCTGCCCTTTTTGAAGTTTTTGAAGTGATGCAGAAGAATGCTTATATGATCTCAGTAATCCATTTTTTAGGCTTCCATGTAGGAGGAAAATAGTCTAAAATGTTATCCACAGATGCATAAGAAAGAAAGAATATTATTTTGGACCTTTAAGTTTGAAGACTCCAAGTTACATAAGAGTTCTCACTCAGTTTGTGATTTATTTGCCAAAGATAACATGTATACCTTATCTGGAATATAAGAACCAGACGTGAGATACAAAAGAAATAGCTGGGAGCCACATGCTTTAATACAAATTTAAGATCTTGTGTGGGAGTTGATTCATGTAGAATTCATGTGATAGGGAATAATTTTAAATTAGTAGACCGTATCAGGGTAGCGAGGATCAATGCTTGTGGAATGCTTAGAGTTTTCAATCACAGTTTATCCATCTGTTTTCAAAGAAAAAAAAAAAAGTGAAATTTTTTTCAAAAAAAAAAGAAAAGTGAAATAATCACCCTTTGCCAAGGTAATTGAAAAGCAGTTGGGTGGCTTGGATACTTTTTGTGGTAGTAGCCAGGCATCAAATAATTTTCAACTAGAAGATGCTGGAAAGTCTGTAGAGCACTATGAATCTATGAATGCTGCATTTACATGTTTTTCTTTGGAATTAAGTGCAGATATTCATAGTTCTCCATCAGAATATTGCCAGTGTGCTGACAGAAAAAACACAAGGAAGATGCCCTTGTGCATCACAGTACCAGCATACTGTAAAGCCTAAGGTAAAAAAGAATCTTTATCCCAAGATACTTCTTGGTTTTAAGAATAATAGTTCAAGAATCTTGATATAGCCAGTTGGAAAGCCTGATGTATGGAAACATTCAGCCTAGATTCAGACACTGAATGTCACCTTTGCAATGTATTTAACTGACTATGCAGATTTTGTCCCCAGGAACTGAAGTTTGTTTGATTAACTCAGATTTCCACAGGTCTGTATGCCGTAGCCACAGAAATGGAAATTGATTACAGAATATATTGTCTTAGATATTTCACTGTGTGTCATGTTCTAAGTTTTTTTTGTTTTTTTTTTTTTTTTAACACTTCTGATAAAGAAAGACAAGGAATTATTCTGCCGAACAGCCAAACATGGTGTTCATAGCAACAAAATGGCATTATAAAATGGTCCTCATTTGAACATGTAATTTGTCTAAGCAGTTGTAACTTTAGGTATGTAAAATCTATTCAAATCTTACAGACAAATTGATTGTATTTCTTCATCTGTGTTATTGGCAAGGATTGCAAATTCATGCTTATCAATTTTGGGAGAATTAAAATACTTCTGCTTATCTTCTGTTTATTTCTATTCCCAGTAGCTTTCACACACACTTCCAGTATTTTGCTATTATCAGCCATTTTTATTTGTTCATTTTCTGGTTTTGGTTCAATTTCATGTTTGAGGTGGATAAGATATAACTTACTCGTACCACAAGCTAGTTAATAAGTACCAGTGTAATTAATTAGTAATGCATGTACTTTTTCGAAAATGTAATTTAATGTTAAAACAAATCTAATAGTTGCTGACTGGTAAGTAAGATACTGCTGGCCATAGTCAAGAGAGAAATAATTGGGAGAAATCAATCTTATTTTAGTTAGTGACTCAGATCTTAACGTTGTACATGCAGGGAAAAATATTTTGTCTTGGTAGACTTTATTGGATGTAACTTTTTCTGTTGTTTATCATCTTGAAACCTTTTATTGGTCTAATTTTAATTCTGCAGTTCTGAACATAGCTTGGGATGAGTAAGTTGTAATGATTAAATACTTCAGAAAGAAGGAGAAAGATTTTCTTAAATCCCACTTCCTTTTGTCTGTGTCAGCTGACCTGAAAAATGTAAGTTACACATATTTCTGATGTGTGTCATTAAGAATTTGCATGCTGCCTTCTCTACATTTTCTGTTATTTTTTCACCACTTTATTATCTCTAAAACCAAGGAATACAGGTTATTTATGCTAGGGAATGGATTCAAACTTCTGTTTTCACAATATGACTAAATAGTTGCATCAGGTAGGAAACTCAGCACAATTCCATCTTTTTTTTTTTTTTAACTAGCTATAGTAACAGTTCAAAAGAGGTAAGGCCAAAGGGAAAGAATGAACTCATAAAATTAAACTGTTTTCAGCTGTGGGTTACAAAAATAATGCAAGTATCTTTCCTGGTGTTTTATGCAGAATTAGGAGTAGATGAGAACAGCTAGACATAAATGTATTTGAGGATGCCTGCAAGCCTAGGTGTAACTAATGTTAATTGATAAGACTCACCAGAAAATTCTACCCATTTCAGTGGAAACCAGCTATAAAAGGGAACAGAGAAACCACTCACTATGAAGATTTTGGAAACCATACAGTCACATTTTGGGGAGAAGGATGGAAGAAAAAGGGAAGAATAAGTAAACCTAGAATAGTAATGAAGATTTCTTTTTGTGAAGTTCAGAAAGATCATTTTTGCCTACAGGAAAGCTGCAGAGGGACTGTTTTTCAGGGAGTACAGTGACAGACAAAGCATAATAGATTTAAACTAGAAGAGGGTAGGTTTAAATTAGATGTAAGGAAGAATTCTTTACTGTGAGGGAGGTTTGGCACTGGAACAGGTTGCCTAGAGAAGCTGTGGATGCCCCATCCCTGGAGGTGTTGAAGGCCAGGCTGGATGGGGCTTTGGGCAACCTGATCTGGTGGGAGGTGTCCCTGCCCATGGCAGGGAGGTGAAACTGGATGGTCCTTAAGGTCCCTTCCTACGCAAACCATTCTGTGTTTCTTTGAATAAGCAGGTCCTGCTATGTGTTGGCTATAACATTATTCATTCTGGAATATTTATTATTCATTCTCAGAATGTCTGAGGGTCATCATTAGCTCCACGAGAAAGGTATGCTAACGTTCCATATTGTTCTGTTTTTGATTTCAGCATGACACGAACGCAAAAAGTATGCTAGGCAGTTTTGAGAGTACAGGTAATTGGAACATTAGGATTCTGCCTGATAACCTGTTTTTCATTTAAGGTACATTTCAGAAGTTTCAGCACTCAGTGGTCATCAGAACAGATAATAAATAGTCATTCACAAATTATATTTCACCAGTGACTGGAGAGCAACTGCAATGAAACTATATCCCTTTACTTGAGAAGGAGATGAATATTCTGCTGTTAGCTGAAGCTGTAATACAGGGTATTTGTGATAATAGAATGATATTATTTTGGGGGGGAAAAGTAATTTGCTATGAGTCACTAGCTTAATAAACTGGTGTGCCAACAGAAGAGGTTAAGAAGGGTGAAAATATTCTATTTTGATGTTTTGCCAAGTTAAGCAGTGAAATATTGTGAGCCTGAACCAAGTGAAATTAAATGCTTTCTACTGGTTGAAGTTTTCCTTTGAAAAATCTCAGTGAGTGAGTGACAATTCAGAAGTGGTAAAGTGTAACAGTAGATAAGTAGATAAGTGCCCTTCCTTCCCTGCTTCCTCTCCCACTGAGGAGAAATTGCTGAGCAAAAATCTGAAGTGCTGAGGTGTTTATTTTAACACTGGGAAACTCTTATTACTTCAAATATTTGCCTGCTTGTATATCATATCTATTATACCAGATGTGCCACATACAAATTAGACACGGCTCATAAAGTGTGGTAACCCTAGATTTTTCAAGATTTTGGATGTAAATTTTCCTTTTATTTAACGGATCTCTAACTCATGTCATGGAGGCTTACTAGTGATGCGGGTCTATACCTTTCTAATTAAAACCTTAGTAGAATTCTTCCTATACTTAAAACATACACCTTATTCAGTTCCTCCCTTAAATATATATATATCTTTATGTATATATATATATGTCGTTAGATGGTGATGAAGCAAGAAATGTCGAAATGAAGGGAGCATTCACTGGATCTGGATCCAGGTTGTCTTAATTACTTGGCTAGGTCTGCAGCTCCATTTACCACCTAGCAAACCCATCTTGATAGTAGAGAAGTTCCTTTACAGTGATGGTAACTATACAAAGAAAGCCTAAACTAGATTCAGATTACTAAATATGAAGTCAGAGATGAATAAAATATAAAGGAGACCAGGAGTCAAACTATACTGTAATTTCTTTTCACTTTTCCTTGCAAGATGAGATAGTTCAAATGAACATTTTATGCATATGTTTATTTTTCACTCTCTATATAATGGATTCTGGCATAGGAGCATGCATTCACCATGCATGTTACTCTGGTTGAAGAGAACGTTGGTTTTTGGCAGGCTGTGCTGCAGGCACCCTCCTCTGGACTTCGCAGAAGAGATGCCAGCCAGCTTTGCAGGCTAGCCTGTTGGGAGTGTTCTCTCATTTTAGCTGGCTGTGCAGCCAGCTGGCAGTCATATCCAGCACAGCACTAGGTAACATGAATGAACTAGTCTTCAGTGAACTGGAGTTTTTTTTTTTCTGTATTTAGAAGAATCATTAAACACCGATTTACAAAAACGATTTTGTGAATGTCTTTACAAACTTCAGCCATATAACTATTTAATAAAATGAAACTCAGAAGCTTTTGTACTAAAAACTGTCCATTAATTTTTAAAAATCACAAACTTTGATTGTTTTGCTTTCAATCGATCGTGTACTTCAGTATTTCTAAAGGTCTCTTTTATTGTGTGATATTAATGTCATCAAGGGAGCGAGCTGTAAGGCAAAAGTATTTGCCTAGTGTGTGTTTTCAGTTTTATGTGTTCTAGTAAATCTGAGGTGCTTCGTTCTGGTTTTCAGGTTTCAAAATACATTAACCATCTCTCCATCTTATGCAGTGGCTCATACCCACCTCGTTACAAGAAGGGTAGGAACATGATCCCTAGATGTGGTTTTTCCTAAGTAGGTGATTATTGGTATGTATGCCATTTGTGTGTAGATTTCTTCACTGGACCACATTACATAGCGTATTAGGTCTTCCTAGCATTAGTTACATTTGCATGTAGTTTTTTTCTGTGTGAATGCATTCTGGAGGGTGGTTTTGAAACACTGATATTCGTGTTACTAGGGATATGTGTGGTGTCTGCATTATTTGCCAGTAATCTGAGTTGGATTTGGTTTCAGAAAATGTGAGCTAGTTCTGTGCCCATTGATTTTACCTACAGAAGTTTTAAAGCACCAGCTGTATGGCAGATGCTCATATTAAGATCTTGCGTTTCAAGCAGAACTCAAGAAATTCTTAGGATACCTTATTTGCTTCTACTACAGATTTTTCTTCTTCAGATTCAGCCAATCCATATTCATGGGTAAAGAAAAATTTCAGTCTTTTGTCAAAACCTACTGGATAGAACCTGTTGCCTTTCTTCAATTTCTGTTCTCTGTTCTGCTTTCTCTTCTGCTAGACCATAGCTGGTGAGTAAGATTGAGTGGGAAAGAAATTCTGTTCTGCCTGTTCATTTCTACCAAATCAAAATTGTGTTACTACCTGAAAGCAAAAATAAAACAAAATTTAAACATATTGCTCTCATTATGTCCATGTCCTTAGGTCCTTAGCTCTTTTGATTGTTCAGGAGTCCAATCAACTGTCAGTCTCAAGCAGTGTGAGGAATTAAATGGCACAAGTGTCCAACAGTAGAGGTCTTTATCCTGTTCAAGGGGGCCAGCTTTTTTTTTTGAGACTGTGATTTATATAGTTGTTTTCCTTTTTTTTTTTTTTTTTTCCCCTCCTGAAATTAGAATCTCCTTCCTGCCTTGACCCTTTTTTTCCCCACCTATCTGCATATTGTAATTTAAAGCCTTCTTTGATGGTGGTACAACATTGTCCACAAACTTGAGTTCTGTATGGAAGTAGACTCATAAACTAAGGACAGATATAATACTGGTCATAAAGTACTTGATATAATATTTTCTTTGCCATATTTCTGCTGCTGCTTCAGGAGAGACTTGCACGTGTTTTTACTTGCATGTCGAATCACATAACTTTTTGTGAAGGCTGTGTGTGGCTTTAAAGATAGTTATTTGATGCAGGAGTGGAGCCTAAATTTACAGATCATATCTGGACCATTTCACAGCTTTGTTTTTTCTGCAACTCTACAGTTGTTATTAGTAGGCTCTAACTATATAAATTTAGACTACAGACTGTAACTGAAAGTATAATCTGACCTTCCTTAATGTGGGAATTTAACGGTCCAGCCTGGGTTTTCTTGAATAATTTAATTTTTCTTCTCCATGTGCTTCAGAATTTTGCTTCCAGATTAACAACCAAACAAAAGGAGTATATATTTATATTGTATATCATGCAATTTATTAATTATATTTATATTCTAATATATGTTACATATTTATATTTGTTTCGTAGCAGTTATATTTTAATGAATACATTTGATAGAAGATATCTGAGCTTTTGTTTAGAATGTACTCACGTACACATTGCAGTTGTGAGCTTTAATAATGTAAGCATGTGAAGACTTATGAAAGGAAGGAAGTCTTTATTTCTAGTCTTTTATATGACAAAATTTAACCTTATGAAGGCATTCTTTCTATACATTTATATGAATAAGATGTTACACAAAATTGTACTGTGATTTCTTTGCGCTTTGGATTTGAGCAAGTTTAGTCCTGTTCTGGGTACTAGCTAGAATGCTTTTCAAGAGTCTTTCCCAACGTTTTTAATATGCTAGTGTTATGCTGTGTGCTTTCAGGAACAAATTAGAGCATTTCAGTAAATAAAATGTCATTTTTTCCTTATCTTTCAGACTTTAGTTGTCATAACTTTGTGCATCTTTTGTTGACAGTATATGACAGTCTAAAATTGGAAAATTTGGGGGGAAACTCTTTGTATTGACAGAGAATTACTAAAATAACATGCTATTTCAACACTAGGAGTATTTGACTTGTTAGACTTCATTTTCAAACTTAGCCCCAAAAGCAACTACAATGAAATTTGTTTCTCAGGTTTTAAGTGATATCAGACCAGTTGTCTTATTTATGGGAATATTATAGCTCCATGTGTATCCTAGGATGTTGAATAAAAGTTGCAAAATAAGACCCAGTATAAATGTTTGTGAGAAAAAGTAGCTTTTTGCATAGTATTACAGAGATGCAAAATTAGAAAGCCAAAGATATGCCCTCCTAGATGTGAACACAGTGGTTGCCAAGCATCTTCCTGAATTGCATTTATATTGTTAAAATTGCATCTATGTTGTTATGCTGCACATGTTGAATAGTCTGAAGTAACAGCTGCTCACCCTATGGAAACCAAAAGTTTATGTGAACATTTGAAGGGGAAGAGCGCTGCCGAGGATGATGAGAAATGGGTTATACTGAGTTTTTCTTAATAGGACACGGTATACATATGTTCTAGACCTACAGTACTGTGGATTCTACAACATAGCACAGAGAGAGAGTATAAAAAAGGTGATTCCTGATTCATAACATGGAAGATTTCCGCGTAGTGGCACTTAAGCGACTACAAAAAAGAAAATGGCGCTGTTGATATTCAGCTATTTGTTTTTAATAATCACATTGATAACAATATTTGTGATATTTGCTGATAGGAATATTATGTTGTGCCCAATAGAGCTATAAGGAAGAACAAATCCTTGGAAGCTCAGCTGAGAATTCAGATTGCACCGTCTGACCCCACATAATTGAAGTGGGTGTTCCTTCTGGTAACAGGTAGGCATTTAATTCTGTAGCGATGTGGCAGAAAGTTACCACTGCTGAAACTGTTTCAGCAGTCTTTCTGCATGGTTTTGCAAACAATAAATGAAGCTTTCTCAAAGTATCTTATATGTGTCTTTTGCCATTCCAGGCATCTTTTTTAACATGGAACATTTAGAGCTCAGTTTCACCAGCTCTAAACTTCTGGCTAGAAATTATCCCATAAATGCCTTGTTTATCACGTCTGACAAGACAACACCTTGGAAATACTACTGAAGGAAAGGATAATAAGCCTTCCAGGAAACTCTCTGAAATTGTGAAATACTGCCTGAAATTTTTATGCCTTGTCACAACATCCCCTTAAATAGCTTCTTGCAATATCCTCCTCAAATAGTGATGTCTAGAATTAGGAATATTAGTAAATGGCTACTGTGCTTTCTGGCAAGTGTAGCTTCCAGCTCCACTTGGATACATCTCTGCACATGCAAAACTGCTGTATAAAATAGTTGTCTCTGGAGGCCCAAGTTTTGGAGGCTATAGTTTGTAATCTGGTAAGGGTTGCCATTCGTTATGTTTGTATTACAGCTTCTGCCAAGTACTTATGACAGAATTATGGAAGTATGAAGTGCTTAAATAGAGACCTTGAGAAAGAATTCCTCCGAGGAAACAATATTTCCTTACTGTGGTTAGGTGACTGGATGACTATAGACCACTATTTCATTTGCACTGCGTAGGATAAGTGCTGGTTCATGTGGGTGGTTCATTGGTTTGTTTTGCTAGAGATGCAATATTTCCTTTTCATGCACTGTTACTCCGCATAGATAATTTAAAGGTTGATGTGTGATAGCTGCTGCTCATTTACTGTGGTGTGAGCACCGTGTCCTTTTCAGTAGGGAACGTCACAGAAGAGAGGCACCATTTTGGAGTACTGTCCATTGAGAAATTGCGGGTTGCCAAAGAAACCCCCTATGTAGTACTCTGGGAAAATGCAGCTAATTGCATAGAAAGATCTTTTGACTGTCCTATACAAACAGCATGCCTTTTTAGTGGTGGGGTATGTGGAACTGACATTGGTGAGGTTATGCACGAGAAGAGCTAATTCTGAGAAATTCAGCTGAGCTAAGATTGTAGCAGATCAAGCATTTCAAGGGGCATAATGAACAGGTAGCTGCACTCCTGGTTCAGACTGGTGTAAACAGTTAAAATTCTGTTTTCGTGATCTCAGATTGAGTTTGTTTCTCAGTAGAAGGTTGTCTTCTGATTTGGAAGATGTCATGTCCGCATGCTCATTCTTTCCAAATGGAGATTCACGGGCTGTAATTTCAATTCAGTTGTTTCAACAGCTAATCTTCGCATGAGTTTCTGAAGGTGTCTGTATTCCTGGCAAGGAGTCCAGCTAATAAGATGCAGACTTTCACCTGCTTGATTTTAGTCTGCCTCAGCAGAGTCAAAAATGTTTAGCTGGTGAGAACTTAGTGATGCTGTTCAGATGAGTTTGCTCTGGAAACCTTAAAACAGAGCAGACATCTAATAGAGGTGAGTATGAAGGACAATGTGCTTTATAGCAAACAGGAAGATGAGGGACTGTGTGTGGGGAATCTTGATTATTTTTCTCTCTTTACCAGCATTCACCAATTTATATGATTGTTCAAACACTGCTTTTAGTTGGCATTTGCATCTCGCATGCCTGTCAGTTGGTGCAAAGGGGTGTCTATGAGAATAGAAATTTGCCTTACTACCATGAGTTCCAGATAAATCATAGTTGTGAAGTTGTATTCAAGAAGCTGCCACTTGCTACCATCAGGGGAGTGGAGCTCTCAGGTGATTTCTTTTACTGGGATTAGAGCCATGCTATTTTAAAATGATAACAACAAAGTTAAGAAGCTAACTTCTGTTCAAAGCATTTTTGCTGAACATCTCAGAAAGCTGCATGAAACTTTGTAGCTGCATAGATGGTAGTACCAGAAACACAGCAATTTTACAATCCACCTTTATTTCAAAAATATGAATTGGAGCCTGTGTTACTCCTCTATGGTGGACCCCCTGTTTAAAATCTTTTGATTTAGTTCATGTTAAACGTGTGCTGATGCAAATGGCACCCTGCTGACATTACAGAAGGGAAGAAAAAGAACAACAGGAGATGTCAAAGGAGTGTGTAACAACAAGAGAAGAGTGAGTAAAAAGATTCTTGCAAATTTCATTTGTCGAAATAACAACACGAGGGAATGCTCTCTGGCATAAAATAGCTAAAACTGCTGTAGTCCAGTGATATCGGTCTTGATATGAAGCTTGTAGAGATTCTCTGAGCCAGTTTCAAACCAGCATTTGCAACACTATAGTACCACGTTCCGCATGTGTTCCTAACCTGAGTTATCTTGACTGTTGTGCTTTGCAGCTCTTGTAACTTTTTACTGACACTTGAGCTCGTGTAGTGAAAGCAAGTTTGGGAATCCCACATGAATCTCAATTGCTGCTTTTAGTTTGCTGTGCACGTAAAGTCTTGAAGCACAGACCACATCAGCCAGCCATAAGATGTGTGGATCTGCAGACTTGGTTCTAGGAAATTCATATGCCACAAAAGAAATCTAAAAGCTCTACTTAGTGATGATACTAAGAGAATGATCAGTTGTGCCAAAGATATCTTTCCTAATTATAAACAGATGCTTTCCTTTCTGTCTTGTTTTTAAGTACGATTTTCCTAAAATGGAACCTAACAGTACATTAATTTTAACATTCAAAAATGGTCAAGCTGGGTTTTCTAATAACTTGGGGGTGCAGTTCTGCAGAAGCTTTTTTTTCTGCTTGGAGATTGAGGGGAGAAGAAAATCCCACAGATTTCACTGGGTTTAAGTTTTAACTTTGTAAATCACACTTAGGAATGTAGTTAAAAACCTGCAAAAGGTAATAGTGGAACAGAAAAATCTAAAATATAGAAGATTTTAACTTTAGAAAGCAGTTTTATATATACAGTAGTGTATATGCTACACTTGTTAAAACAAGGATACATAAATATTTTCATTTTTTAAAGTTCTGTTACAACTTTAAAAACAATCTTTTTATTATCCAAATTTGTGTATACTGTCTTATTTCAGGAATGATATTAAGTATCTAAATGGCAGAAACGTGGATTTGTCACATAAGCAGTCATGGTTCTCTCTTGTTTCTTCCTTGGTATATCCAGCCTTGCCAGGAGACGAGGCCAGATTATTTTTGTGCTATAGAAATTGTTCCAAAACAAACCCTTTCTGTAGTTACATTATCCTTCAATGTAAGGAACATGTTTGGCTTATATATTGCTGACATCTGCCAAGTGTTTCTTTACCAAATGTTTAGTGTAATTTGCAGTGAGCTGGTGAATACTTAATGGTCTTTGTAGAACTTCATCTTTTATGTCATCCTCAGCTAGAGCAAATCCTTTCATCATCAGTGTTATCTTTGTGCTGATTTTTGTTATTTAGATGCCTGCATTTCCCACACCCAATTTCTTTGGGATTTCCAGGATTGTATTTGAAAGTATATACCTTTTTTTTTTTTTTAATTAATTTGTCCTGAATGGTATCCAATGAATATATGTGGTATAACGAAAGGACACATTTTTCATTTAACTCCTAGTTTAAAGCAAGTTTACCTTCCTTGGCATCTCATTTTAAGTTGCATAAGGCAAAATTGAATCACTATTAAAATGGTAAACTTAATTACCACTTAATTACCACTTCCAAAAAGTTGCTGGAAGTGGTAATTATAGCTTTTCTTCTCTTCTAAGTCTTTACGTGTAGATGCACCTAGTTCTGTTTTTAGTGAGAAATTTTATACCTTTTCCCCTCTTTTCTTTCCTCCCTTATTTTCCCAGGCAGGAAAAATAACCTGATCAGTTCAGTAAAAGCAGCTTGGGCAATTAAAATCAGCTCTGTGCTGTAAATCCAAACAGTTTTAAAATAGTTAGAATTCAGAGGAAAAGGTAGGAGAGGGGCAAATCTCTATCACTAAAATTTTCCCTTTTTTGTTTAGGATGTACCTGTAGTGACTAGGTTTGCCACAGTGGGATTGCAGATTTTTAAAAACTGAAAGAGGAATATTAACTCCACTCAGTCTCAAAGATATAATTAATGACATTCTACTCAGCTAAGATTAACTTGAAAGCTTAAGAACATAGGAATAAAAAAGATCAGTTTACAGATTATCAGTGATAATCGCCAGACTCCTCAGCCCTGCAAAATTAGGCTACCCACTTCCTTTACAAGAAATAAAGAAATCCACAGTCTATTTAGACTCATAAATGCTAGATGAAGGAAAAATGGCTTGGAAAAAAAATCATAAGACATTGAAAATATCCCATCTAATAAGTCACAGAGAAGATGGATAGGGTGATAAGTTTTTAAAGCAGGCAATATTGGGCCAAGCTGAGTAAAGACAAGTCTTTATTGATGGGAATGTTTTCTGAAAGCTCTGATGTTTGCCTTCAGATTTAGCTGTTGTTTGGACAAGAAGGACTCATATTACTTTTTCAGATCTATATGAGCATAGCTTCAAGGTTGCAGGTAAAAAGAACTTTTAACAAATTTTTATACTTTCATCTATATTAATTTACTTTTAATGATTTTGACTGTGTATTGATACTGATAGTAGAAGGTGCTGTCTAGTATTTATTTCTGAAGCTGGTTTTGCTGTAAAATGTGCTGCAAAGTACTTAAAGTAGAAACTACTTCACATTGGTACAAGCCATAAAATTCAGGAGCTTTCAGATGCAATTTTACTGTATAACCATTAGTTTTCCTATTGTGGCTTATAGAAGGTATAAATGGAATTGTCATTTATAATTATTTCTACTCTATTCCTTTGTCAAACATTGCAAAATAATTAATTTTGCTTTTTGATAAATCATCACTTTACAATTGATTTCTTAACTTAATTATAAGATTGCAGACTGATTTTAATAGTTACTTACCTCTGCATCACAGCATTTTTCCTCCTGTTTTTCAGAAGTGCCTTCTCTATGTTAACATCAGTAAGGTTTGTGTATTATGTGGAACAGTTCCAGACAGAAGACATGTTCTTGAGAATTTAAGTAAATTGGTTCAAGAAGCCTTTTGGCTGCAGGTTGCTACTCACAAGTGGGCCCTTTCCATGGTGTGTGTGACTCTTAACAAATGTGCTTTAGTGCAACATCACCTGACCAGTTCAAGCTGCAGCTCAAGATAACAACTAAAGAGGATGTCTTCCAAAAGAACCAGTCTCAGAAACTCCTGTGCAAGTTACTGTTGCTGAATTTTGAAGCACTAATTAGCAGCTAAAATGGGAACATTTTACCCCTCTGTCTGCTGTTGCTGGTATTATGGTCAAGGGGTTATGTCTTGAGGAGTTCAATGGAAAACACTGTTACTGGGTTGTTCCAGTTTGAGGATGACTGATGAAGAGTGCTCCCAATCAATAGCACGTTTCAGACATACCCAACATCTGTCTTCTTGTTCTGACACTTCAAAGGTGCTCCTGAATCCAGTTGTTAAGGATAATTTGCATATCATAACTATGCGTTGTAATCAAAACTCATTTGTCTTTGGTCCAATAAATGAAGATTTCCTAACAGGATTCATAATTGTTGTTTAAAAGTAAAATCAATCATTTCTGTATAATTGCCCAATTTATAACCTTTCCTTTACCTTGTGCTTCACCTCATAGAACCATGGCAGTGTGCTGTAGGTAGAGAGGAAAAAGAGGAAGGAAAATGGGTTATTTGCTGAAGCACAGGGCATGCGATTGTTGTTTGTTGTTGTATGAAATCACAATCAAAATTGACACAAGTTGCTATTAAACTCTATTTCCTGTGTTAAAAAAAGTCAGTATTAGCTAAAAAGAAACCTGCAGCAGTAGATTTGCACATAGACCTTAATGAGCCCAATTGACCTTCTGTGCTGTATTTACAATTGCCTTAAAATTGTAAGCAGATGTTTGAAAAACTTTTGTTAATAGGTCCCTAACATCTGTTTCACCAGTGATATTGCCCACCAAAGCAGTTGTAATTAGTAGAGCACCTAGTGCATACATCTTTTTCTTATTGGAGCAGATGATCATATTTCTCCCTCAGGTATTAAAGTAAAATCTTATTGGCACTTTTGTTTTCATAAATTCTACAATATTTCTTTTGTAAAGACTAAAGGTTTTCCACCAAATGCAGGGTAATGTAATAGTTTTTCCCTGTGAAGTCTTAGAAAATGCAGTACAGTACCAATACATCCACTAACACTAGACAACATTCAGGGGATAGTGAAAAAACAGAATATGAAATACTGTGTGCAACTGAAACTTTTGATAGCGTTTGTCCATTTGTACTGCTCCGATGCATGATAGAATGCGTGTTTAAAGTGGAAAAAAAGAAAAATGAAAGGAAGAAAATCTTACACTCTGCTGCAGAAAAAGCCAGTGTCATTTGCCCATTAAAGTTCTTTTATATGACATAGTTTCCATTTATTTGAGAACACAAAAACCTGTCTGCTTGCTCAGTTTATATAGCAGTGTTTTCAAAGAAATTGTTATGACAGTCTGTGAGGGTAAAGGTTCAGCTTTAACCTTGTGTTGGTTGCCAGCCTTCATAGCTCTCATGGCTTCGTTTTTTTTTTTTTAAATAAACTACAATTTGAAAGTTATTCTTTAACTCCTACTTTATAAAATATAATATGGAAAACGCGACTGGGGGAGACCTGTGCAAAGCTGCCAATAAAATTTCCACTCCAGTTGTTTCCATGTGGACTTCATTGGAGATAAGTCACTGACAGAGGAATAGCCCCTTTTCCAATGAGGAATCTTTTTGGAAATGTTCTGCTACCTTCTAAAGCAGCCGCCAGCCTTTACAAAGTGCAGGAGCTTTCTAAAACATCCCCCATGTCTTCTCAAACCTGTGGAATGAAGACTGTGTCAGTCATGTCACAGTTTGTCTAATTATAATGGATTTGAGCTACATCGTTTTCAGGATAGGCACTGTAAAGTGTTGTAAGCTCTACCTTCCTGAGAGAGAGGTGGGGAGGATGGGAGGAAGAAATTTCAGGAAAGGGGATTCTTAAAATATCGCATCCCCTGAAGGGGAATTGTGGAATCTCACTTCAGATGCAGGGCTACATTATTACAGACATGTGTCTGGATCTTTTGCTAGCTCACCTGTATGTTCAAGAAGTGCTTAAATGCTTAGATCAACCTTACTGAGGCAGTGATCTTAATCATATGGAAACTACCTTACTAAGAAGTGTTACTGTGGCCATGATTTTCTAAGGTAATGCAATTTGTACAGGGAAACTTCTTAGGACAGATTGAGTTAGAAAAGGATTTGTGGCCCACACTTCTGTAGTAAGTAGTGATTTCTACCAGACATAGAAAGAATCTGAAACCCATTGCCTGTTCATCCAAGGAAATATCCAGAGCAGTCATTAATGTTGGTCCTTTACTTTTCAGATTGTGTTACGGGTTTCTTAGTTTAAAAAAAAAAATAAAGGAACTATTCACATCTTCCCTTTTCACTCCCCCATAGTCTTTGTTCACATAACAAGTTAAGATGAGAATACAAGAACCTGTTCCGTATTTTCTGCTAGCGACACCATTTTCAAGAATGTTCCAATGTGTTGTTTTTTATTAAACCTCATTTTCCATAAGAAAATTTTCTAAGTTAAGTTTCGGTAATGACTGTGCAGATGCACTGTTACTTTTTTAAAAAACTTGAATAATCTCTCTAGTCCTGTTTTCTTTCCAAGGGTGAAATGAAAAACAGCTTATTTCCTAGTCTTTATGTGAACCTGAAATCATGTGAATAGTAATGAAACAGGTTTTCTCTTAAGATGCCAAAAAGAAACATACTTAACTTACAGCGAGAGAGACATTTGTTCATTGTTTATATAGACAAATGTAAAAATAGAGAACATCATTATGAAAACCAGCTGATACACAGAGGCACTTTTGCAAACCACTTCTTTTTTTATGTGGTGAAGATACTTTCATTGATGCTTAGAGTTATGAAATGGAGGAACTGCACATTAACTACTGTAAATCACTTCCAACATCTCTCTGATTAAAATACCTTTGGAAAAAAGCAGTAGGGTTAGTACCCTATGCTAAATGATATGTGTAGTTCAGTTTTAAAATAATTTTTTCAATGTTTCATCTGAAAAAGTGCCACTTTTTACTTGCGCAGTTTTTTCAGCCTTTTGTTTTGAGGTAGGGTAATCAAAATCAATCAAAATTGGCAAGTAAAACATTCTCACGCAGAAAACAAGGCTAGAAAGATTTATGTTGTGAAAACTCCAAAGATTTTTTTTGACAAGTTTGCATTCAGTGTAGTGTTTATGTAGTGCTACTTAGCTTTCAGATGTAGCATTGAAGTGGGGAGGATGTACAGATGCGCCCAAAGGGTGTATGAGCCTAAATCCTCAACAAAGTCAGCATTAGCCTTGGGAATTATTGAGAAACTATTTTGCAGTTGATATTTCACATTCAATTGTCTTGAGTGTCCTTAGTAACTGTGACTTTGTAATATGAGTCCTTCTAAATGTCGGTCTTCTCTAAAGATCATCAGATTCTCAAACAATGAATAACCTGCTTGCAGAAATATTCATTAGAATTCCTCTAAAATTTGTCAAATATTTCCTTATTTAGTATGCACAAATACCATCAAAAAATAAAAGCTCATGCTATGCTGTAAAATTGAAGGAGTACATTTCCAGAATAAATTCCTCTGTTCTTGTTCTTTTTAAATTTTTATTATTAATTATTAAGGTAATATTGCATCTTTGAATATTGAACCTTTTTTTAGATTGAACAGTATCAATATGAATGCACTTCCATATGTGCATTAAATTGTACGTGAATTAGGGAATTGTAATTCAACAGTTGTACGTTTTTTCTTGATGTGAACACATGCATAAAACCATGTAGACATCCTTTTGACAATGTTAAAAACATGAGTGAGAATCTTTGTGTTTTGTTTTGTTTTGTTTTTTCACATTTACACTTTATATCTTAGGTTGCAAGTAGGTCATTTGAAATGAATAATGCTCTTGGACATGGTATAGCCTGGAGAAAAAGAGAGAACATCTTTTGTTGATGTCGTATAAGCTACAGAAGATTCCAACAGGGCCACTACATGTTCTTGTTTTTTTCCCAGGTCTAGTTTCTGGAGATGCATGTAACATTTCATGTTAAAGCATATTGGAGAGTTCTGCAGTTCGGGTCCTGCACCTGGGACGGGGAAACCCTGGCTGCACGTACAAACTGGGCGATGAGACGCTGGAGAGCAGCCTAGAAGAGAGGGATCTGGGGGTCGTGGTAGACAGCAAGTTGAATATGAGCCAGCAGTGTGCCCTGGCAGCCAGGAGGGCCAACCGTGTCCTGGGGTGCATCAAGCACGGCATCGCTAGTAGGTCGAGGGAGGTGATTGTCCCGCTCTACTCTGCACTGGTGCGGCCTCACCTCGAGTACTGTGTGCAGTTCTGGGCACCACAGTATAAAAAGGACATGGAACTGTTGGAGAGTGTCCAGAGGAGGGCTACGAAGATGGTGAAAGGCCTGGAGGGGAAGACGTACGAGGAATGGCTGAGGGCACTGGGCCTGTTCAGCCTGGAGAAGAGGAGGCTGAGGGGAGACCTCATCGCAGCCTACAACTTCCTCGTAAGGGGGTGTCGAGAGGCAGGAGACCTTTTCTCCATTAACACCAGCGACAGGACCCGCGGGAACGGGGTTAAGCTGAGGCAGGGGAAGTTTAGGCTTGACATCAGGAGGGGGTTCTTCACAGAGAGAGTGGTTGCACACTGGAACAGGCTCCCCAGGGAAGTGGTCACTGCACCGAGCCTGTCTGAATTTAAGAAGAGATTGGACTGTGCACTTAGTCACATGGTCTGAACTTGGGTAGACCTGTGCGGTGTCAAGAGTTGGACTTGATGATCCTTAAGGGTCCCTTCCAACTCAGGATATTCTATGATTCTATGAGATCATGTATTATGTAAAAAGTATAGGTGGTTTAATGTTCAAAAATACAGAATTGACAGAAAAACAACAGAAATGGGAACCTGCCAAATTAGCAATAAAGTAATCTGATTTATTTCTGGGACAAGACCTTGTAGAAGTTTCCTTTACTATAACAGTGTTATGGATGGAGAACATGTACTTCCTGTATCTAGTCTTAATACTCGGCTCCCTGGGAGGGTCACCAGGAGGTCAAAAAGTGAGAACTGTTGGGTTCTGGGCATTGCAGCCATGTTGGCCTTCTCTTACCTGTAGTTTTGGTCTAATGAACAGTAGAGACATTTAGTCACATACAGGTATTGTGCAGCCATGGTTTATGTTTTCATAGCTGTAAATTATGGTTTACTGTTCTATAATTGAATCAGTGGTCCCATTTATTTATCTTAAAGTAATGGCAATGTTCAGCCTAAAGTTAAACAAGTGCTAAATTTATTCTGACTATCAAGGCTAACTATTCTGCATGATCTACTTTAGGGATGTACAGATTATTAAAACACTTTTTTGGGGGTGTAAATGTAAGTTTTCCCTTTCTCCCCTTATGTTTCGCTGCCTTTCCTCTTTTCTGTCATTTCAGCACTTGCACAGGTAACGTGTAATGTTCCTGCAGTTTCTGGAAATGCCTGTTAGTAGTGGCTCAATTCTTTCTTTGTGCTTCTGAAGGCCAATAAATTACCCACACAGCCAATCTTAAACTGTATGTGTACAATTCATGACTTCACTTAGGAATTTTGGCGATAAGGAGCATCTAAAAAAATTGTGCAAAATAAGGTTAGGAAGCTTTAAAGCTATTCCTGTTTTTGTTTGGTAGGCAAAATGTTGAGCACTGGGCACTTAGTTTTGTTCTGAGGTATTGAAGTCTAAAAAATACTGCAAGACTTGTTATAAAACCACAGGTGTTGGTAACACTATGGTATATAATGAGGAAGGAAAGCACCTACATTAAATGTTTGTACCAGTGCACTTAAGCGATGTTGTAGCCAAATGGTCTGCATTGGAAAAAAAATGGTAACTTTCTTAGATAAAACCTGTATTTCACAGAACCATAGTACTTATTCTTCATAAACATATTTTATTACAAAGGTTTTTGAGATGAAGATGGACTATGTGCCATGAATTATTAACCTGAAATTTCTTTTCCCCTTAAGTCAAGCATGCATAGTAAGATACTAGTTTCAAAAGCTGGGAGATGGTGAAGTCCATCAGTAAGCACTGTATATGTAGTATTGGTTAAGGTTGCTCTTGATACTTTGGGAGATACCCTAACCTTTTTTTTTTTTCTTTTTTTTTTTTCCAATTTATATGCTGTTCCTCTTTAAAAAGAAAAACGCTGTAGAGAGAATAACCAGGAATCTTGAGTGTACAGAGTAGAAAGTCTTACCGAATGTATAGAATTTCATGGTTTCATATGGGCTGTATGGAAAACAGTAGCATTCATTATATAGTTTGACAAAATGTTCGTGATTGCAGTTGACTTACAAATTTCTCTAAAATTACACTTCTGTGAGAAAACAGCTCTTTCAATGTGTAAAAATTACCATTCATTTCTTTACTTTTGACCTCTGTTGATCTTACTAATTCTTAGTTATTCTCATATGTTCTAGTTCTGCTGGGAGGAAAAATGGGACTTTAATATATCTTATTATTTTCTGTCAAAGATTTGGGGAGATTGTTTCAGAGAGTTATAGCAGCACCCATTAGCTATTCCCTTTCTATTTCACAGCTTTGAAAAAGGTTTAAAACTCAGCTCCTTGAATTCCTTTTAAAACGGAATGTGCCAGCCATGAGGGTTTTTTTGTACACCTTTAAAAACTAACCCCCCCTGAATTTTTAAACATTTTAAAGATCACACATAAGAAATTCAGAAAGCACACTGCTGTATTTGTGTTTAGCTGTTATGGTAGTACAGCTATCTAAAAATCCCAATGTGAAAATATTATCAAAGGGACTGAAGCATGATACAGTTATTTCTACATTTTCAACAATGCCTGAACTTTTTACTTCTAACCTGTTGTAGTTCACAGGTTATTTGGGGAGATGTTTTAAATTGTGATTCATACAGTGAGAATCTCTAAACCAGTCTCTTTAAACTCTGGTTTGCCTAGTGGACGGAGCAATGGCAGTCTGGATTTTCAAACAGCTGTGCCCCTGCAAGCCAGTGGGGTGAATCTGTGTTAACTGTTGAGATAAGGAATGAGCTTTTGAAAGCAACATGATTATCCTCCCTTACTACCCTTGGGTTCACGTTCCAGTGTTCCCATCATGGGAACTGGATCCCTTTTGGGTTAAACAGGTGCCTCAGAAGTGCTCCTCCTGTACTCCAACCAGTAACTGGTATCCAGGTCCGGGGAGCAGACTGCAGTTACTTCAAAATCCAACCCCCAGCCTTTCAGCATGTAGATGTTGCATCCTCATCGGTGACTGATTCGCTCTGCAAATCTGCCTTACTGTGTCGCACTACTAGCTAATTTTGTAGGCTTGCTAGAAGTGCAGCATTATCAGGCTGTTATACTTCACAGGTTCATTCCTCTGGGGCCAGACTACTACCACACCTACTGGTGTCTTACAGACTTGGTGTACTAAGGGATTTCTAGATTGAAGCTGGAATAATTTGTCTTTTAAAGGGCCCATCAACTGAGTTAAAACTGGATGAATAAATATTTAGAGTCTGAATATTGAATTTATGTTTGTTTGCATTAGGTTTCGATGTAGTAACTAGTTTCTTTTCATGAAGTGAATGATAAAAGGTCTTTTTTTTTCCACATATTCATATTTTTTGCTAGCTACAAGGATCTTGAATGTCATCACAATTGTTTCTGGATTTTGATAGTACAGGTTCTGATGTTTCAAGGCCTGTCAGTTCCGTCATTTAGGGTTTTGTAGCAATGACTTCATAGGAAAATCAGCTAGTGCTTTTTCCTAGCTGCAGTTAAAAGGGAGACAAAATAACTGGATGGAATTCTGCATTTCTACATGAAGTACATTGAGTTGTCTTAAATTTCCGATGAATTAGTACCCATTATTTATCTGTCTTCATTCAGACTATTATTTGGTAAGTTTTGAAATGCAACTATTTTGTCTTGACCCATAATGTAACTTAGAATTGCAGATGAGAGTTTGGATGCCTTTATCTTCTCAGTAAAATGTTGTCACCTACAACTGAAAAAAAGTTCACTCTACTCTTACTTAAATCTTTTTTTTCTCTCTCTTTTTTTTTTTTTTTGTAATTAACTACCATATCTCACTACCTGTCATGCTTCAATTATTGTCAATTAGAAGTGCTTAGCTACTCTGGTTTAACTCTCACATTCAATACTAAAGTTTGGTCAAAAGAGTTTTAGACTATTTTAACTTGTCAGTCAGAGGTATGATTTATTTTTTTAACCAATGTAGTTGTATTGATACAATTCCTAGAATAAATATAGTTATTCAGGTATGAGGATATATTTCCACCAATTTATCTTATTTCCCTTTCCTGTCTACCAGTATAGTTGTAAAGCAGTACTACCTTGTATAAAAGCAAGCTCTTAGAAACAAAACAAAACAAAACAAAAAGAAAACAAAGCAAAAAGAAAACAAAGGAAAAAGAAAAAGAAAAGAAAGAGGTTATTGCCCTGTTACAGATTTCAGATTACTTTCATGGGCCACTGAAAGAAGCTCAAAGTGGCAGTCCCATTTCTGTAGTGTCCAGAAGATGTTTCGTGATTTGGCATACTCTCAGCACTGTGCCAGTGAAGTTTAGGCAGGTCTGTATGGGTACATTATTGAATGAGAAACTGTTGTTTTTCCATTCCTGTCTAAACACTGATATGATACTTTTGACTTTTTTTTTTTTTAAAGTAAGTGTAGGATTTTCCTCTTGTATTTGTAAATTATGCCTTTAGAATATACTTTAGTAAACAGGATTTACTCAATTAATCAAATTTACAGATTAGTTCATTGATCACAACTATTTCATGCTGGAGATCAGTGCTAATGTACTTCAATTCTTTAATTGTTAATCCATTTTTGAATTAATATTGATGTTTGTTGGTATAATCCCTGCTCATTTGATTATTTTGGGGGTGCAGAAAAATACTTCCTCATCCATTAAGGCATTTATGGGAAGAAAAGGACACCAAGCAAACAATTAGTTTTCTCTATATAATTGAAGTTGCTCTTAGCTAAAAAATTAATGATTGACATAATAGTTGTTAGATATATTAGGATGTCACGTATTGCATTTTATACAGACAGATACATAGTTTTTGGGAAAGGTAATAAAATATTCAAAGTTTGAGACTGGGAATTTATTTTCATTTTGATCAAGAAGATTGGTATTGTCCTGATTGCTAAAACCCATTGCTGAAATTCTGTAATGTTCTAGTGTGAATTGCTAACTATATCTGGATAGTATTAAATGTAATATAGGACAAAATGATTGTAGATTTTATATCCCTACCTGTGCACTGCCTTGCCCTTCCTTAACTGCAATAGGGGGTAAAAAACAGTGCTGACATGCAGGGTAAGCATCAGGCCTAATGACAATTTATCAGATCTCTTAAGAGTCAGTGTCCAGTGCAAGGGTACTGCCTTCATCCAAAATTCACTGAGAGACCCTGGTTCCTTGGTCTGTTTGGGGAGCTGGTAGTGAATAGGGAGGAAGAGACACCAGTGTGCTATTTTCCCACTTTGTTGCCTCTCTCAAGGCTAAAGATCCACCAAACCTCAACTCCATGGCTTGTTTTTGGCTTATCATCTTTGGGCAGTTACTCTGGACTTAGCAGAATGCTGCTGAAAGGAGGTGGGAGGAAGATGGAAACATCCATCCAGCTTAGGTCAGCCTGGCCTGTTGGATCAGGCAAGCAGGCAGCAACTTACAGGAAAACATGGTAGCGACACAGAAAAGGAGGGAAAGGGTGAGGTATTCTCTCTGGCCCACATAAGCTGGAAATAGTTTGTACAAGAGCTTTGGTCAGGTTCCTGCTTGATCTGGAAATCAATCTGGTGACACTATCTCATACTACCTGAACGTTTTCTGAGAGAGGGAAAATGATCACAGGATCAAGAGTTAGGCCAGCATTGCCACTAAATCCTCAGCAGTAGCACATACTGTTAGATAGACTTGGAATTTATTTCAATTTCTTTTCTTTTTAGTAAATATTTTTTCATAGTAATCATTTGTGTATAAACTTTTAAATCTGAAACTCTAAAAGGGGATTATTTCAATGGCAGTCAAGCACTTTGGTTAATAGATCCCACATATGCCATTTATTGCATACTTCTGTTTATTGCTTAAGACTTTAATTCCCTTAAGTGAAACACAGTATTTTATGGAATTAAATAGTATAAATTGTTTCTTTACCCACTTTTAATCTGTTTAACAGAAAATTTCCCTACCATTGTATTAAAGACACGACAAAGTCCACTCTAGACATTGGTATTGATATTGCTAAAAAAAAAAAAAAAAAAAAAAAGACAGGACATTTCCGTAACTTAAGTCAGGTAACTGAGAGCAAGCATTTTAGTAAAGTTTGGGAAGTTCTGTTTTTACACAATATTTAGCAGGTGAGTTGAATGCCTGTTGAGTCATGGAAACAAAGAGCATCTTTTGTAAGCATTCCAGAGGTATGCTTAACTAACTTGAAATACGGACACACTGGGTTTTTGTCCTTGAAGGGGAAGCCTTCATTAGGCCAATTAAGTTTGAGATTCCTCTCTTGGTGTATGTGGTGTTATCTCGATGGGGTTTGCCCAGCTCTCTTTTGACCTTAGGACTCTTGTAGTCTTCAACACGTTACAAGGAACAATGAAATCTGCGCGTGCAGCTTTGACAGATAGACTCTGAGGTGCAGGAAGAGCTTTTCCATTTTTTTTTTCCTTGCTTTTCCTCTTGTAGCCACTGCAAATACAGACTCATTGTCATCTTGTAAGAATTTGCTAATTTATGGGATTGGATGCTACACGAAACAGTTTTTTGCTCTGTGTTAAGAGATGAACTCAGGAGGGATTTAAGTCAGTGAAAACATCATGCTCTTGATGATTCAATACATTTTCCTAAATAAAGCTTCTTGTTGATGCTTAGTTCTTAAAAACCAGTATGGCCAAGCAGTAACAATCTGATACCATTTAAACATGATTTATGTTACCACTTGGAAAAACAGTGTTGGTGTTTAAAGTAGATAAGAACCGAATGTGCTAAACACATGGTCAGAACAATCCATCTAAAACAGCTTTGCTCTGATGATCAGGAGCAGATTCTCACTGAAGTGTCTGCTTGTTTTTTAATGACATACTTGTCAACATGTAACCTTAGAATATAGACACCATGGTAACAGTTTTAACACAGTCCCTTTAAAGAGCATAATTGTGTGGAGCACAAATAGAAACATCTTGACTCTTGTAGTCTTTTAATCCACTTAAAGAAATGCTTTTCAATCCATCAAGCTGCAGTTTCTGGATCTTGCTGAACATCTGTCTGTCTTGAAATGACTTGGAATCAAAATCTAAGCAGGCCCTTCAATGCCATTTTTGCTGTGGATGCTAAAATGAGCTTCTAGACAATGTTAGTATTTTGTTATTAGATTAAAGCTGAAGAACACAAGGAATGCTGAATTTCACTTGGCTATATTATAACAGAAATCAGCAGGATACCTTTTATGATACCATGTGAATGCACAACTGGCTGTGTTTGTTGGCCCTGCATATTGCTATGTGTTTCACACAGAACCTGTTTTTCTCTTAAATATCCAAGTACCGTAGCCATGTTGTGTGTGTTTGGGAAGAAGCAGCCCATTGCTGTGCTTAGGGCCATGTGAGGGACAAGCATTAGGTTTTCTGCCTTTGGAACATCTTCAGGGCTGGTTATGGAAGAGCCCTGCAGGAAGGTATGCAGAGTATAGGCTGATTCTGTTGCCCTTTGGAGAGCTCTCAAGTTTACATAAACAGGCTCTGGTATGCAGCTACCAAAATGCAATAGAAATCAGTAACATCTCTGCTACGCATGTCACAGTCTTGCCTGATATCTTTTGCTTAATATGGTCTTGCCCAATATCTTTTGTAATTTTCAGTGTGCTTTTACCAAGCACAATTCAATAACTTACCCTTTCCAAGATGTGCTGACCCTCATCTTTACTGTCATAGTAGTAGTTTATTTTCTATAACTGGCTTATCTTTGTAACCTGATAATAATTGATGTTCTAGGATAGGAAAGTAAGTGCAAAATGGCAGGCAATGCAAAAAGATGAGTCTTAAAAAATATGGTATCACCATGATCTACACAAGGTTTTTTTAGTATAGATTTAAATTCACCTGAAATATTAGAAGTGGTTTAAGAAAAAGAAGTTATGTTGGTTTTCTATACCTATGTATATATAATTTTGTTTGGGAATAACATCAGAGTCTTTCTGTATATGCATGATATTTTCCATGGTTATGACTGTGGGCACCGTTTTACTGACCCATTATATATTGCTGGTCAGTGTAGTCTTTACTTTCACAATAGCAGCATAATATTTTCACTCCTAATGGAATTTAATTTTATTGCCTATTTTAATTGTTAGAACATAAACATATATTTGAATATATTTTCAGTTTAGCAAGTGGAAGCACTGTCAGGTTCCCAATAGGAACATTCCCTTCAAAACCTGAAATTCATTCCAGTTAAGCGAAATCTCTGACTTTTCTGAAGCACAACCTTATCGTTTAACTACAGGAACATTTTCACATGTTGTGTGTGCCTTTTAGTTTATGAGAAAACAAGGGAGTTCCCATGAACTGTCTTTTCAAGTATATGGCAGAATTTTGGTGTAAGATCAGACTTAAGACAAGTGTGTGATGTAACTCCCATCTTATGTATGATTCAAAAGACTGTTCCCCTTCCTACTCTGCCTGCCCCTTAAAAACCATGCAAACAAATAAAGTTCAGAGCAAAAAGGATTTTAGTAGGAGAAAGTGCAACTTCTGTTTCTTTTCCTTTCTTCATATTTCACACTCGTTATTAAAATACTCCTAGTTTTCAGTGCTGTCCTGAAGAAAACTATTACATATTTTATGTATTTTGTTTAACCTGTGAAGATTTGTACAGGCTTTCTCACAATGTTCTTTCACAGCTGTACTTACAACTCATAAAGTGTTAGGTTCCAGCTTCATATCCTTTATGGTTACAAAAGGTTGTGCAGAGCCAAATTCTTACCAACTTCCTGTTCTAGGGATATTTTCAGTAAAACCAGTGCATGTTTGCTATGCTGTACAAATGAGTTTCTATCTACTTTTTTTTTTTTCTTTTGTCAATAATATCTTCTGGGGGTGACAAACTATTAAGGATGAAATCCAGAAATTCTGGAAGGCTGACATACATTTAAGTTTCTGTGTAAATATTGATAAACTTACATGTACATAAATACCGCTACATAAAAATATCTATGGCACAAAAGCAGTAAGTTGAAGTGGAATTACAGTATATTGTTTTGCTTGTCTTTCTGATTCTATAATAGAATTGTTAAAAGTTAACAGAATTTTGTCACTCCTGTAACTTTCTAAGTTTCCGTTGCTCTGAGTAATATCAGAATATCATTACATAATGTTCTGGGTTGAAGTGTGCGGTAAGAGCTATGTAGGAGTTTCC